GCACCCAGGATGGCCGGGACAGAGGCAGAGCCAGGAGACGGGGCTGCTCCACACGCACCGGGGTTTGCCCCACCAGCTCTCAGGGCTCGACCCACGCAGGGACTACCGGCGGCACGACGACCTGCTGCACGCCCCACACGGGCTGGGCTCAGGACTGGCCGACCTCCCCCTCCACTCCATCCCCCACGCCATCGAGGACGTGCCGGTAAGCCAAGGGGCACCCCCGGGGCCCGCTCGCCCTTCTCCCCTGTCCTCCCTCCTGGCGGGAGCCGCGCGTCGGGGGGAGGGAGAGGGACACCCCTAAAAGAAAAAAAGAAAGTGGAAGGGAAGAATAATACCTGCCCCCCACCCCCAGGGAAAGGCGAAGCCCCCCCACCTAGAACAATAGGTTCTTGCAGCTCGTCCCTGCGCGACGCCTTCCCCGTTAACGCGCCGGCTAAAATACAAATAAATCAAATTACTGTCATCGTTAACAGTATCTTTCCTTCTCAATGACAATAAGCTGTTACGATTGGAAGAATATATAATATCACCACAGGGCCGTGCATTTGGGGATTTCTCGCTGCCTTGGGAAAAACACGAGTCTGAAACGCAAGATCTCATTAAATGTCCTCCCAGGCAAACATAAAGGGGGAAGGAAGACAAAAAAAAAAGTGGGTGAAAGTGGCCTAAGAAGGAAAAATTGGTTTCCCGTGATTACAGAATTGGCATACGGGATAACGACATCTAAAGCTGTAAGAGGATATGGGCAGATCTTCTAAAGGAATTAATTGACAAATCAAGGAAGAGGTATATTAAAACACTGCCTTCTTCTTTTAGCAGCGGTGCAAAGGGATGACCTCATAAATCATTAGCTATAGGTTATCAAATTCGAGCCAGACCTGCTACACCCTGTATTAAATTAAACGTTGGGAGCCTACTGGAGGATGCAATATTTGGGGGATCTAATTCTGTTATCGATAAATACAGATTTAAAGAATGATTTCTAATTAAGCATGACATTAGTGCATGGGCTATTTACAGAGCGTGCCAGGGCTATTGTTTGGCTGGGAGAGTGGCTTTATGCAATGCAATAGGTCGTGATCAAAGTTCATCTTTCTGGGTTTCTCCCTGAAAATGGAATTAGAACATGGCAATAAATTTATTAAAGCCCACAGAGCTCGTGCTAAGGGACTGAGGCTGCTTGACTTGCAGGAGGAAAAAGAAGGAGGGAACTGTGGTGTCTGGATGTGATTTTTGCTGAAATGCCATCCCAAATTACAGGATCAAATATTACAACAATATATTTGCTGACAGTTTAATGAGTACAGTTTCGTGTTGCAAGGATAATGTTCAGATGAACTTACCTATTTTGGGGGGTCATTTTGAAATCTTTTGTAAATTATACTCGGGGAAAATAATGAATTTATTACAGCCCTCATCTGGCTAAATTAGCCACAGAAAATTGCTGGTTATGTTTAGCAGTTTTGCAATAAACGCACACGTTTCCCAAAGTGGAGGATTTAGTGAGCAATTTGGATCCGTTAAGAGCAAGTCGATTCTTTAAACTTGGTATAAAATAACATGGAGGCAACAGTAAGAATAAACTAATTTGTTGACTGCAAGCCCTTGATTGCTGCAGGAGGAACATGACCTAAAATGTTCTCTTGAATTCTCCCTCTCCTCAGTGGCACTTCGTGGCAGTGGGCTGATTCAGGAAGCCTCCTCTGCAGATATTTTAAATACAAATAATTTTATTTGCCTCTCAGGGATCTATGAATTAATAGCATTGCTATACTTAGTGAAAATCCAATGCCATCTGGTTTAAATCCTTAAACCAGCCTAGTGTTTTGTGTTTCCCTCCCCCCCCCTCTGTAAAACCTAATCAGCAGGCTGAATGAAGGAAAGCATAAAAATAAGAGGAGGTATTTTTTAAGAGTATTTTATCTAGTTATGAAAAAAAATAATCCTTAAAAGAAACCTGGGTTGGGAAAGGGTCGGGTTTGTATTTTTCTGTTGCTGCAACAGTTAACCTTTAATAAAAACGACCACTAAATATTTACGAAAATCAAGTAGACGGTGAAAATTATTTAATCATAAATATCTCTGTGGGGTTTTAAACTTAACAGTCCTCCCTGTATGGAATATGTGTAGAAATAACACAAATAAAAGTATTATGCCACACTACATTTACTTTATGGGTTTAGGGTGCATGCATAAAGGGATCATATTTCCCCATATAGTTAAAACACAAGAACTGCAGCAGTAGTCATTTCTGAACATTTCTCAATTTAATTATACTTAAATCCAGAAGCACTTTAGGCAAGTTACAAATGAGAGCATTGAGTATAATAAAACCTGTAATAAAGCAACTTAGTACCATCCACCCGGAATCATTGAGATCAGGCACAATTAACAGGAGCATAAATCCAAGACAGAATGGAAAATGTTAGAATCAGTATTATTGTTGGACAAAGACTAGAGAAGGAAGTAATAGTTTTTTAAATGGTAATGCCTGGGTTTTGTAACGATTGCGAAATCTTCTATCTCAGCAGCACTGGTGTTAATTTGTAAACACAGCCAGACATTATATTGCCTGTCAGTTTTTGGAATTGGAAAACACGATTCCATTTGACTTTCTAATCACGTCGTGGCTCCGCCGCGCGAACCCCAGCTGTAGCTGCCACCACGCAACCTGCGAGGGGACAATAGTGGGGGTGCGCGGGGATGCCCGCCGGCACCCCCGGCCCTGCACCCCTTCCCCCTCCTTTGTGCTTTCCCTCCCGAGGGCGTCGCGGCCGGAGCCGCTTCCCGGGGAGGGGAGGGACAG